CTCACAGAAGAGATAACCAAAACAGAGAACAGAAAAACATTGGGGGGAGGGAGGAAGCTCAATGAAATCAAACTAAGGGGGAAAAAAAAAAGACTCAAACTACTACAATTAAAAATCAGAAATGCTACTACAGACTTTACAGTAAGAAAAAGGATTAGAGAATACACATGCATGAGAGAGATCAGAGTACTATATAATATAGGAGTTTTACAGATACACCTCTGTCAAGGGGAGGTGCCATTTTCCTCATCCCCATGGACATGGAGCCTCCTTGGACTACACGTCCCAACATGCCATGAACCAGCTTTCCTGAGTGGGATGGCTGGGGGTTATGGACAGAATTAAGCTGACATGCCTGGTTTATAACTGAACAAAGCTGTGGATTGGACTACTGAACTTCACTAAAATTAAAAATGTCTGTGCAAAGGGCACTGTCAATGGAGTGAAATGACAACCCACAGAATGGGAGAAATTATTTGCAAATCACATATGCAGGAGTCTAACATGTAGAATATATGAAGAACTCCTATAATTCAAAACAAAAATACATAAATATATATAGATATATCAATGGGTCAAAGATATGAATAGACATTTCTTCAAAAAAGATAGAATAGCCAGTAAGCACATGTAAAGATGCTCAACATCATTAACTATTAGGAAAATTCACATCAAACCCACACAATACCACTTCTCACCTACCAATAGAAAAACAACAAGAAACACACACACTCCCCAAAACCCAGGCTATAACAAGTGCTGACAGCAATGTGGAGAAACTGAAATCCCTATATGCTGTTAGAGGGGAGGGAGAAACAATTCAGCTGTTTTAGACAAGTTTGGTGTTTCCTCATAAAATTAAAGGGAAAATTACCAAGTGACCCACCAATTCCACCCCTAGGAATATCCCCCCAAAACAGAAACACAAGCAGATGCCTTTATGCAAATACTCACAGCAGCATTACATTATTCACTGAACAGTCAGAAGGTGGAAACAAACCTAAGTGCTGGCGGACCAGCAAAACACAGCTAGACACAGTCACCCATCAGTCTCCCGCCACATTACACGACGTCAACCACTGACAACATGTTAAAACATTATACTGAACATTTAATAAGTCAGACATAAAAGGACAAATGTACAATTCCACTTGTGTGAAATACACAAAACAGGCAGTCAGAGACAGCAAGTAGATCAGAGGTTACCAAGGAGGAGTGGGGTGATGCAGCATGACTGCCTCATGGGTAGAGTTTCTGTTCGGGGCAAAGCCGAACTTTTAGAAATAGAAAGCAGTGTTGGTCACTCAACATTGTTAATATAAGTAATGACACTCACACTTGAAAATGGCAAACTGAATATGTACCTTTCGCCACAATATTAAAAAACCAGGGGAAATGATGCAATTTTATCTTTTGTAATTAATATGTACTTGATCTCTGCCCTTAACTTTGGGCGAGTGTGTCATTTCTACATGTTCCCTGACTGTAGTAACATGCAAAGCCTAAACCTTTGCTACAAGTTTTTCTATTATATAAGCAATATTCAGAAACTCAAAGGCAGTTGTGACCTATATTAAGAATGCAACTGCTGTTTCAATTGTCCATGTAAGCAATTAACTCACTTAAAAACAAACAAACATGATATTATTTTAAAAAAAAAAAAAAAAAAACCATCCACGGCCAACAACATAAAACCATATACTCATACTACACATGCGAGACTGTGGGGAAATGACTTCTAAAACGATCAAGGTTGTCATTGTCCAGAGGCAAGAAAAAGAAAACATACGAACCTGTTATTCAAGACAAAGTTTGATAAAAGTACCCCAACATTCAAAAGTGGCTGCACTGAGATACCAAAGACTGCATTCTGCCTCCAAAGAAGTATTTTTAAAACATTTGACATGAGAGAATGGGGCTCAATTGTCCCAGGAAGTAGGTAAAGGTACAGCTCATCATTTGCCAGCTACACCAGAGACAAAAAAGTAGGCCACGAGTATCACAATGTCCCCAACACAGAAGAAAGCGCACAGAGCCCAAGCTCCCAAGCCCAACCACCCAGCCTGCAGCTCTAGCCACACTACTCAGGCTAACCCCTCTTGGTAATACGATTCAGTCTGTCTTCCAGTGAAAGAGCAAAATGTTGATTCTAATAGCATCCAGGGACTCAATGAAGGAACACAGAACAATCCACCCCCAAAGAAGCAAAATTTCAGACCTGGACAGAGTGTTTCCCTCTAAAGAATAAATTCAGTTGGTAAGTATTCTAAAATAACAAGAAATAACAAGAAATAAAGAATACGGCACTTCTAAAGCAATGTTTTCCACAAACTTATAAAAAAAATATTCTCTATAAAGAAATATAAAGAGGAGGTAAAAATGAGAATATTTTTTAAAAAGAGCTGAAACAAAAGACATGATATAAGGAAACTAGTAAGAGCAGAAATTTAGATAGATGGTAAGTAGAACTGCAATGCAGAAAGTGCTGCAATGAGATGGGAGGTGCTCTGGGGAACTTCCACCAAGAGGCAGGAAGAGAATAAAACTATGAACGCAGCAGGAGGGAAGATAAGAGCAGAGGAGAGCAGAGATTAGAGATGAACATAGAGCTAAACCGTGTCTTTGAGAGAAAGAAAAAAATGAACGGAGAGGGATAGCCAATCAAATAATAAACAAAAAACTTCCCTAAGTAGAAAATGTAGAGTATTCAGAATTTTTGCCTCAATATTGGGGACAAATAGGCACCAGACAAAATGCAGTTCTGATCATTTCAATCAAAACTTAAAAACAAGCCTCAATAGGATTAAACTATTTCCAAATAACTTAATCATCTAGACTATCGCTGGTGACAAATCATTACCCGTGCCTTCTCCTACACGTGACAGGCCGGGGTCAGAGGGAGAGGAGGCCGGCAACTACCCTGGGAAGGGCCAGCTTGAGCTTTAACCGGGGGCAGTGCTAAGAATCCTGAGTGAGAGGCGCTGTGACATATGTGCAGATAGGATAATCTGTTGATGGAATTAAAGGAGGAGCAAGTACTCGGTAGAGGCCAATTATAAAATTTCAGCAAGTATCATCGGCGTTTGAGGCAATGAAACGAACAGTGAGTATGGACAACAGGGAAAGCTGATGAGGAAGAAAGGGACTTAATGAGTAGATGAAAAATTCAATAGTACAAGGTACAAAATAATACTATTGAGAAAGTGAAAAACTATCAAGAAAGTGAAACGATAACTGGCAGGATAGGAGAAAACACATGCACAAATCATACAACTGATAAGTGATTTGTATCCAATTATAGATTATATATATATAAACATAATGACCTCTTAAAATTAAAATAAACTCAACTGAAAAAATGGGCAAAGGATCTAAAAAGACATTTCTCCAAAGACATACAAATGAGCACAAAAGAATTGCTCAATACAAATCAAAACTACAAGGGGTGTTACCGCTTATCCACTAGGAATGCTATGATAAATAAGACAGACAGAAACAATTGTGGGCAAGGATAGGGATAGATCAGAACCTTTATAAATTGCTGGTGGGAACGTCAAATGGCACAGCCACTTTTTAAAACAGTTTGGCAGCTTCCCCAAAAGTTAAACAGTTACCATGTAACCCAACAATTCCACTGAAGTTTCCTGAGTAACTAGGAACAAGTCATCAGGAGCAGGAGTGACAACAGCTTCCACTATCTATTAAATGTGTATCGCACCATAATCGATGCAAAGCCCCTCATATATTCTATCATGTAATGCCCCTGAGCAATCCACTGGTAAGCATTTCTTATTCCAACTGTATGGGACAGGAAATAGGATAAACTACTTGCTTCAGGACATGCAACTGACAAGAGGTGAAGTTGAGATTTAAACTCAAAACACTTGTTCTGGTCCATTATATTTTGAAAGATGAGACTATATGGAATATAAAGGCAAATACAATTTCCACCAAAATCTGTAATATATAATGCACTCATAAACCCCAATTATTTACCATTCTCAGATTAACTACTAGCAATTCTATATGCTATTTTTTACATTAAAAGTCCAACAGCAACAGTTCTAAAACACACCAATCCCTGCTCATTCCCTCCATGCTTTATGGAAGCCATGGAGCTTTTTTTTTTTTTCTTAGAGGATAAAAGGCAAATATTGAAGGATCACTGAATTGGATGACCTCCAAGATCCCTTCCACCTTTGTTGGGTTTAACAGCAGTCACTACTGATGGAGGATTACGGGTGCTAGGTTGGTGGGTGTGGTGTGATGACATACATTTGAAGAGGTGTCAACTTATGCCTTTAAATCATATATAGTGTTGTAAACCTACATTACCTCAATAAAAAACAATTTAAAAAAATAGTAGCTACTATCATTCAGCTGAAGAATTATATGTCAAGTTTTATACACTACTGAAGCATCAATTACATATCCTAAAAACACAGATGACTGAAATGTAATAAGGAAGCAGAACCACCAGCTACTTTTCTTTAAGCCCTCCAGAGTTTTCTTTAATCAGAGCATATGGTAATTTGCATGCTTACTGTAAGAAGCACATTTAACACAGTAAATATTACTTTAGTAAATCTAAAGGCTGGCACATTTGTACCATTAGTCAAACGATACTTTATAGTCCTCAAAGACGACTGTGTAAATTTGGGCCCGGCAAAACTCCCGCTTCATCTGCTTCATCGTACTCTAGATGAGTAAACTGAAGCGCAAGGTCACAAAGCTGGAGAGGCATGTTAGGATTCAAACAGAGTGCAAGTCCAAGTGGAGCATTTTTCAAAGTTAAAAAAAAAAAAATCACTTAGAAAGATGTCTCGGAGGACAAATGCTCTATGGCAATGACTGGCCTTAAAATGCACAATTATCTCCTTCTCAGGAGAGAAATAACCTCTAGAGCAATTAAATACAACAACTACGTTATTTTTGCCAAAAGAAATGCCATTTTACTAAACAATTTAAAAACCTGTATTATTAATAAGTTTATAGCTTACCTAACGCAAAGCTGTGTTCCTGGGATAAAGAAAGCTCCTTATGCCATGGCCATCAAACAGCAGGATGTATGCATGTGGAAGAGTAGCCCATTTCTCAGTTTTGCTTCAAATTAAAATCATATTGACTTCTGAAAGGAAAAATTATGTACAAAATGTAAAGAGATGATGGTATCAAGTACCTCAATAATAAATTCTGCCCATGGATGTGCATAGCAGAAAGAAAACCAATCAAGATGGGAACATTTGGTAGTACTAACTTTTATTCTATACTTTCTTGGTTTCTGCCTTTGGAGTAGTTTTAGATTTACAGAAAAGTTGCAAAGGCAAATACCAACAGTTCCTGAATGCCCTCACCCAGTTTCCTTTAACACACACTTCTTACATTACCATGGCACGCGTGTCAGAAACAGAAAAACAATTCTGGTCAATGCCTACTTAATTTTGCTGAATTAAAATATCCTCCGGAAAAGTGCTCTTGGTCTCCTGACCACTATGTTAATCAGCACACCCGTATTTTCTCCTAATGGGTACACTTTCAAATAATTTAGTAAAACCTATTTTAGGATTCTAAAAACCCAAGTCACCTACTTTAGGAAGTACTTTGGATCCCCTTTCATTTTAGCCATAATTAAATGTTTTACATAAAATTGCAAGGCAAAGGTTCCATGGTGGAATCTCTTTGAGATTTAAAAGAGAATGTGTAGCCACTAACTCCCCAATAATCAGTTATCCTGCTACAATAAAGCCAAAGAAATGGGTTTTATACACACACACACACTTTTTGTTGTTGTTTACATCATCTTCCTTTTTGTACAGCGCATGCTTTCTCCTCTCAGGTGTAGTCCCCATATAATTCCCACCACCAATTCACCCGTGCATCATCACCATAGTCCCTTGTGCTCTTCCCTCCCCTGTTTTGATCCCAGTCCCTCCCTTTCCCCAAGCCAAGGAAATGTTCTTAACTGCAGCCTCATATTCATTAGAATTCAGGATAAAAAGCTCAAATCAAGAAAGCAGGAGAAGGTGCCCGCAGCCTCTGCAGCACAGGTTCAACACCAGCCGGCTGTGGAGACCTCTCCTGTCGCGCCTGCTGCTCCCCTCACAAGTGTACTTTGGTCAGTCTGCCTGTTCTGTTCTCCACTCTGTCTCTGGTGAATCCTCTCACCCCCTGCATCTCTGGCCTGTACCCCAGCTCTTGTATGTGTAAATAAATAAATCTTTAAAAAAATAAAGAGAGAAAACAGAAAACAAAGGCCTCCCCATTAGAAAACATACAAAATTAACTCATGATTTTGCATTTTGACAATAAAAGGGCTATTTTTCTAACCCTAAGAGTTTTCTTCAAGTGAAAAGTAAACTTCCACACATTTCCTACTCAGGCATCAGAGTCCTCCACTGAATCCAAGGAATATGGAAGCTGGAGCAGACTTTAAGGGAATTCTTTTAATCAAACTCAGTTCCTAAGGATGTTGGTTGTGAAGAGAATAGGCATCTATAAACATAGGTTCACCTAAATGTTCCTAAAAGCCACAGAAAAAATTCTAAAATCACATTTTCAAATAAATTATTAGTCCCAGGAGTCTCCAATGAGCACCTTATTTTTTTTTTGGGGGGGGGGAGTGCTGTAGGAAAAGAAAGTCAACGTATAGTTTCCCACTTCAATCATTTTAAAGTGGCAGTAAATACACACACAATGCTGTGCAATCATCACCACTACCCTTTTCCAGAACCTTTTCATCATCCCAAACACAAACTTTGTTTCCATTAAACAAAAAAGTCTCTCCTCTTCCTCCTCCCCATATCTGGGAAACAATACATTCTACTTTGTTTCTATAAATTTGCCAGTACTAGATACCTCAAGTAAGTGGACTCATACAATATTTTTGTTTTGTGATTGGATTATTTCTCCAGTGAGTACTTTTGATTTTTTTTTTAAGTATTTATTTATTTGTACAAGCACGGGAGGGTGAGAGAATTCACCAGAGCCAGAGCGGGGAGCAGAGCAGGCAGAAGGACCGAAGTACACTGCTGAGGGGAGCAGCAGGCATGACAGGAGAGGTCTGGCGCCATGTGGGACCCTCGCCGGCGGCCAGGGATCGAACCGGCGCTGCAGAGGCTGCGGGCAGCTTCGCAGCCCAGCACTCAACCGTTGCGCCGGGGAGGCTCTTCAGTGAGTACTTTTGTAAAGCAAAGAATGAATCCCAAATTATTCGGTTTCTCGTAACTTAAACAAACATAACAGACATACTCTCTGAACAAAGCAAACAGCTCTCCCAGAAATTCTACAGTTCCCAGAAGCCCCAAAGGCTGAGCGATCTCAGACACACCCTTCCTTAGCCTATAGAAGGGTCTGGTAAAGCGGCTGTTGGTCAAAGAGCCCCGAAGGCTCTCAGGATAAGGGGCCAGCGCCGGGGGAAGTTAAGGGAGCTGCGCAGGCCTGAAAAACCATGGACAAGAAGAGGCAAGGCTCATCAAGCTCCTCTGGCCCTGAGACGGCCTCCTGTCAGCCCGCCAGGCGCTCCCGCACCCTGACACCGAGGCTGGGCGACACCTGTCAGAGCCGAGGCCAGACTGCAGTCTAGTCACCGAGAATGTCACCAGCGCAGGAAGCTCCACGGGGTCATGAGTCACCTCCACGGCTCAGAGGTCCGGGCAGGCCTGCCCCACCCCGCCCAGGCAGCCCCAGTTAGGAGAGACACAAACAGGGGGGAAGCTCCAAAGCCGGGAGAAGGAGAAACACAAAGGGCCAAAGAGCCAGCCTAGAGGCGGGCCACGGGCGAGAGTAAGGACCGGGGGGGAGACAGGCCCGGAGACACCTCAGCGAGGCGGAGGCAGAGACCAGCCGGAGTCTCCGCGACGGGCTCGGGGGCGCACCCGCGGGGACGGGGCTGGCAGGGGCGGGCGCAGAGGCGAAGGGGGCCGGGCACAGAGACGGCCCCCGAGCCGCAACCCGGGCAGCGGCGGAGGCCGCGGCGAGGACCGGGCGGCCCGTCCCCCGCCCCGGCCCGAGCCGAGGCGCCCAGCCGCGCCCACTCGGCGCCCCCGAGAGGCCGGCGGCCGGGCCGGGCGGGATCTCTAAGCGCTCCGGCCGCCGAGGTCCAGGCTGCGGGGTGACCTTGGGCCAGACTCTGCCTCGGGGCCTGGGCGACGCGGGCCGCGCGCCGGGCCGGCTGGAGGCCGCCGGAGTCGGAGCCGGGCGCCGGGTCCAACCGCCGCGCGCGGGGCGAGTCTCCCGGCCGCGCAAGGGGCCCGCGGCGGGCGGCGCGCGCGCCGGGACCTGCGGGGGAGCCCCGCCGCCGCCCCGGCCCCCCGCCCGGCGCCCGCGCCGCCCGCCGCGCCGCCGCCGCCTACCTGCCAAGGGCGCCGCGCTCGCTCAGCCCGCCAGCGAGACGCTCTCCGCCGCCGGCGCCGGGCCCGCTCAAGCCGCAGCCGCCGCGAACGCCTCAGTCTGCGCCTCACGCCCCCGGAAATGCTTCCCAGGCCCGCCCCCCGGAAAGGCCAGTGCTTCCGGGGGTGCGTCAGAGAGTAGGCCGTGTGCGCATGCGGGGCTCGCGTGCGGGGCGGGGCGTCGGGAGAGCGCGCCGAGGTCGCAGGCGCCTGCGCAGTACAGCGTGCTGCCGGGCTAAGGACTTTAGGGGTCTTTGAAGCCACTTTTGGGGATTGGGGAGCTAATACCGAGGCCGCAGCCCTTTTCATTTTTTTAATTAAAATAAAAGATTTTTTTATTTATGCATACAAGAACTGGGGTACAGGCCAGAGGTGTGGGGGGTGAGAGGATTCACCAGAGACAGAGTGGGGAGCAGAACAGGCAGAGGGACTGAAATACACTGCTGAGGGGAGCAGCGGGGGTGTCAGGAGAGGTCTGCTGCGCCATGTGGGTCAGCTCCCTGGCCGGGGATCGAACTCATGCCGCAGTGGCTGGGGATTGCTTCATAGGTTGTGTCTTCTTAAACCCTTGTTCCACGAGGGAAGCCCCACAGTCCTTTTTAAATTTAGACTTATGTCAGCTTAGCAGAGATTGTATCCAATTCCTTTGTGCTTTCACAGCGCCTACATGTATTGGCTGCTCAGTGAATAGTCAGTGGAAGTAAATAGTCCAGTCTGTGCTGGAGTCACAGATGGTGCGACAGGAGCTGCGCTCAGGTGCTCCTGGGCCCAATACCCCTCCTTGACAATCACCTCTCCCCAGCTCCAACACACAATGTACAAGAAAGGTTGTCAGTAATGGGACTAAGCCTCTTACCTTTGGACCCGTTTATAAACCATGGCCCCTCTGTGGAAGAGGTAATTTACACTAAGCCCAAATCCAAGCATCTGCAAAGGTGTAGGCAGAGAACCTTCAGGATTTAGGATAGATGCTCTCCCTGGGTCAGACATACGTCTTCGATATGGTATCTGCCTCAGCTCACATCATCCAGTTCCCAGCTGTTATGCCTGGCTTGCTTTGGGGGCCCTAGGCACCTTTCTCCCCGCAGTGTTCAGACAGGGGGCTGATACTTTCTGACGAAATTCTGCAAAGAAATTCTAGGAAACAAAACCAAAGAAATAAATGTTGAAGCTCAGAAATGGCACTAGGGGCAGAAAAACTTGTTAAAACTTTCTGCCTCAAAAGTACATCCTCCAGGGCCTCCCCGGTGGTGCAGCGGTTGAGCGCTGGGTTGCGAAGCTGCCTGCGGCCTCTGCAGCGCCGGTTCGATCCCCGGCTGCTCCCCGGCCACCAGAGGAGGGTCCCACATGGCGCGCAGACCTCTCCTGCTGCCCGCTGCTCCCCTCAGCAGTGTACTTCGGTCCCTCTGCCTGCTCTGCTCCCCGCTCTGGCTCTGGTGAATTCTCTCACCCTCCCGCGCTTCTGACTGTACCCAGTGCTTGTATAAATAAATAAATAAATAAATAAATAAATAAATAAATAAATAAATCTTTAAAAAAAAAAGTACATCCTCCAGCTCACTTTTAAAGCGAACTATGGCACATACTCTCAACTGAGAATTCCCACTTGAAGACTATTCTAGCACCTCTTATCCCTTTTTTATTGCCTTCCCCCTCCACACCCCAAGAAAACACTCAATTTGTTCAGGTCGCAGAGGAGATCCCTTAACCTCAGGGGAGGTAGCCTTTTGCCTCAGCTGAGGAAGTGACTCATAACTGGTCCAAACCATTCATGGCGATCTCATTCTCATTAGGCAGTAGTTAGACCAGCCGTATCATGCTGCCAATTTCTGGCCAACGATGACATGTGTTTACTGTACAGTAAAAGTTACTGGGGCTTCAGGGGTGGATTTTTTTTTTTAAACAAAGTCCACTAGAACTTCTAGTTGAGTATGCTCCTTGAATATTTTGCCATTTTAATTTTCATCCCAACTAAGCCTACCTGCTTAGAACTTCAGTCAGTACCAGGTGCTTTTGACTTGATAAGCAAATGCTAAGGTCAGCAAAGCAGGAAGACAGAGAGAGCCTAGGTCTCACGTGGCCTGAAACTGCAGTCCAGCTTTGGACTGCTCCCGGGATGTTTTGTTTACACGAGCCTAATAAACTTGTCACCTGGACTTTATGTCTTGGAATATTGAGAACTACATATCTCTAAATAAGACAGTCATAAACTAGATAAAATTGCCTGGAGAAATACTGAAAACCCTTTTAAATACACGCACCCTTTTAAATGGATAAATGCATGGAGCTTGTGAGACAGTCAGGAAAATCATGAGCCAGGAAGAAAGCAGAAATGGAAGTCTGAAAAGTCAACATTGATGGCTGGAGGTGCTGGTGGAGTCTATTCTGTTCTGACTGGATGGTACTCCTGCTTTACTGGCAGGTGTTTTGGAAATCATCTCTGGAGATAAGCATTGATGCTTCTTCCAGCTATAGGGGCATGCACTGGTGTCCAGACTGGATGAAAGTCAAGTTGGAACATCATGTGGGACCCATGAAGAGACATATCTTCAGGGGGAAGTTGAAGGGGAAAGAGAGAAAATATCTGCTCTGCATCAGCAGGAAGCAGGGAAAGTTGTCTTTCTTTGCCTTGTGTCCTGAGGTAAGGGTAAAGCATTTCCCCAGTGGGTCCATGCCCAAAATCTGAGCCTCCCATGGCTACACTGTTTGTGCGGTTCAAAAGTCCCCAAGCAGAATTTTTTATTTAAAAATGGACATGAGTAGAAGGAAATAAAGACACAAGTAAAAAACATTAAAAGTGGAAACTAAACACAAAGTGGAAAAATTAATTCAATTGGATCAATAATCACAATATGTTAACAGTTTTAAAAATCTAAATCTTCTAGTTAGAATAGATGGTAACACCAGATTCTATTTGTTAAAAAAATCAAGCTGTACGCTATTTAAGACACTAACCCAAGAAGAAAATTTGAAGTTAAAGTATGTGAAGAGATTCCCTGCTGGGCCTGTTAGCTGTGTTAACCGTCGGGTAAAATAGACTTTTAAAGCGTTGCTAGAAATAATGCAGTGGATTGTATTATTGCTTTCAATAATTTGCTGGCCCATGTGCTTCTGAGCAAAGCTTTAAGAATTAGGAAGAGCATGTCCCAGATGCGGTTACTCCTTCCTGGATCTTTGAATAAAGAAAACATAGAACGAAGCACGGATCACGCTACAAATGATCCACAAAGGGCTGTGACATGAGTGAAGAATTAGCCCTTTTTAATGTAAGTCCCTGAGGTTTTGAAGTTGGGTGTGATCATTGTGGTTCCCCTTGACTAATGCAACATGAAATGTGTGACTTCCAGGTGGGTGCTTTGAGAGCAAGTATATGATCCTGCTATCACACTGTTGCCGCAGCCGAACTGAGCAAAAGATGACTAACAAACTCTTTTATAATGAGAAAAAAAGGTTCCCTGCACCAGGAGTACATTCTCACTCCAGATTGCATCCACGAAGCCCTATAGCTTTAAGCGAGAGGAGAGAGAAAAAACTGGATAGAACTCAAAGAAGTTGACAAGTAGCAGAGATTGTACAACTGGCATAGCGCTGGCTGCAAATTTTTGTAGTCTTTCTCCTGGGTCATTAGTAGACTTGCCCTTGAACACAGAGATAGCCACATGGCTCTCTTTGAACTAGAAACTTTAAGAGCCAGTGCTCTTCCTTTTTCTCTGCCATGGAGTCTAGCAATGCTCCAGAGGTAACTGCCCCATCAAAGAGTGTCCTAGAGTGAAGGCAGTGTGAATGAAGGCCCCCAGCTGACCAGAGATAAAAATGCAGAGTAATGAAGAAAATGCTTCTGATGCTGTAAGCTACTAAGATTTGGGAGTAGGATGTTTGCTATTTCAGCATAACCTACATTATCATGATTACTAAAGATACAAATTTTTAAATTGAAGTACAGTTTGCATATAGAAAAATTCTCTGATTTCATGTAAATCTCTGTGATTTTTGATAAACACACTTATGTTACTGCCTCTAAGGAATAGTTACATTAGCTCCCAGAGTTCCCCAGTGCCCCTCTGCAACCAACCCCTCTTCCCTTGCAACCACTGATCTGTTTTCTGTTCCCATAGCTTGTCCTTGTCCAGAATGGAATTATATAGTGTGTGGACTTCGAGTCTGGCTTCCTCCACTTACCATAATGCATGTGTGACCAGCCCAGGCTGTGGACCAATAGTTTACTCCTCTTTATTACTGGGCTGTACTCAAGCATATGGCCATACCACAACTTATTTATCCCTTTCCCAGGGGAAAACATTTGAATTGTTCCCATCTGTTAGTAATTATGTAAAGTGACTATATATATGTAGATATATTTTAATTTTTTATTTCATTGGAGTGACTTCTGATAAGTGGGATTACTGGGTTGTGTCTTAAGC